TAGCTAGCTTAAACGGTTAGTTGTTAAGGTGATATTAGGATAGATCTGTATGAGTTAATGATCAGAGTGTTTAAATAGGTAACTCACAGACGGGTTACAGGTATGGTAGCATAGTGTAGAACCAATCGAGTAGTCTAATCACCTGTGCGGTGGACTACTTAAATAGACAATGACTAAAGTTGTATATGTGACTTATTGTATACTCTTCATATAATTACAAACAGTAGGGACTATCAATAGATATTCTATATGCAATTCTAATAAAATTCTTTCAGCAATATAAGCCACCTTAATAACAAAAAAAAAAAAATTAAATTATATTATATCTATTGACTAGAACATACTGAAAAAATATATGCTTTATGATGCAAACAAAAATGAATTAACAAGATAAATATTAGATATATTATTTCAAATAAGTATTGCTAATTTATCTCCTTAGTAAATTAACTACCTTATATGATTTACTAATTATATCACAGGATTTTGTATAACAAAACATATAAAAAATTTAAGAAAAATATTAAAAATTGTAAATATTTTAAAATTTTATTATAAAAACTAGCTTTGAGCTTTTAATTAAAAGTTTTCAGTATCAAATTATGCATATAAATATATACTTTAATTCTAATATAGGCTTACTCTAACTCTAATCTCAAAAAATAGTTTACTTATATAAAAAAATTTTTATAATAATAGAGTGATTAATTAACTAGTAGTTAAAATTAGTTATATTTATTTCAAATAATATTTTAACTAATAACAAATAGTTATAAAATTAGTGTAAAAATATTATTATTTATATATATTTACAGTCTTGCAACTTAAATTAGATAAGTAATAACTAAATATAATAAATTTAATATAAAATATATTTTTAGATATAATTTTATAAATGTTTATTTGAAGCTATATATTTTTATTATATGCTTCTATATATATATTATAAAAGGAAAAATTACTACTATTATTATTATAAATTAGCAGAGTGAATTACAGTATATAGTTTAGCTCCAATAGTTAATATAGTTAGAATATAATAATAACTTACTTAACTAGGTAGGATTTAAATATTAATAATAGTTAGGATTAAAGAAAAGACAAATTATTATTTTATGTTACTTTATTAAGAAGGATATTAACTTCTTTCCTCTTTATTAAATAAAACAGTTTGTGTTTTATATATTTTATAATCTTAATAGGTTTGATCTGTTAAAAGCTTTATATTATTACTTGAGTCTTATATAGCCTTTATATAAACTAAAACTTTAATATATTCTTCTTCTTGAAGGTGAATTCCTGTGAGCCTTAAACTAAAAATTACAAATTAAAATAAAATATAACTCAAAAAAATAACTATCTATTTAAACAAAATATTAATATTATTCTAATTTATAACAAATTTATAGATATAGTATTTCATACTATAATCACTACCTAATTATTAGTTTATCTGTATATTGTTAATTATAAGCATATTTCATGTTATCCCAAATTTACTTCAAATTAGAATTTCAAAATTAATTTAACTCAAATAAGACAGATCTTTTCTAACATTTTACTAATGTAATTTATCTTCCTTACTTCTTTGCTAATAATAGAAGCAAGACTAAATATTAAAGATCTTTATATTATATATTTCATACTTATATTTAACTATTGTATCTATTTTTTAATTATTGTTATGTTTATAGATTAGGTCTTTATCATATGCCTATTAGATCCTAAGCTTTGATTATAATATTATCAGTATTTGGCTTTTTGATCTTGAGGTATAGTTTTGAACTCAGTATTTGTTTAGTAGCTTGAACTGCCTTAGATTCAACTTAGATATGTAAGTAAGACTTTTAAATTCTAAACTCAAATTTTTTCTTGAGTTTAACTATAAAGTGACTACTTCTAAGCAAGACAAGTAACTGCTAACTACTTCTGGGTTAAATAAATTTTTTTTTTTTTTTTTTTTTTTTTTTTTTTTAGTAGATATATCAATCAGAAGTATTAAGTTAGTATTAATAAAGTAAATGTTTGTCATATAATTTTAGAGTTTTTCATCATTTTCCTAAAGTTATAGCAATATTCATTACTTTAAGTCTTTAAAAGTGATGAAGATATGAGATACAATATCCATCCATTTATCTATCCATTCATCCATTCATACAATCAGCACTATATGTTACTATTGTAAATTGGAAGAGTGAGTAACAGTGCACAGTTTAGCTCTAATAGTTAATATAATTAAGATATGATGATATTTCACTTAACTAGGTAGGATTCAAGTATTAATGATAGTTAGGATTAAAGAAAGCAAATTATTGTTTTATGTTACTTTATCAAGAAGGATATTAACTTATCTCCTCTTTATTACAGTAAATAAGACAGTCTGTGCTTTTATATATTTTATGATCTTAAAAGGCCTGATCTGTTAGAGGCTTCGTATTATCACTTGAGCCTACTATTGTTAGACAAAACTATTTTTAGGAAATAGTGAAAGTCAAAACTAAACCTAGTGAAAGTGAAACTCTAGTAAAATGTCAAAACTCTAATAAAATATTGAAACTTTAATAAAATGTCAAATTCTGGTGAAATGTTAAAATTCTGACAAAATGTCAAAACTCTTACACAACCCCCAGTAAAGCTAAAACCCTTGGAGAAAGTTAAACACAGTGAAGATAGATAAAATCTCTTAAGATTTTAGAAAGACTTAGCTATATCAATGAATCATAATATTTTATACATGGCTATTATATACAATATATAGCTCATAACTTTTATTTGTATTTGAGATTTCAGGCTTTGAATTTATAAAAAATCAATTCAACGCTTGAAAATTCAAAGTTTGAAATCTTGTTTTTTTTTTGGTAGCATTTATTATTTATTAATATAATTTGTATAAAATAAATATTTAAATAAATTTATTATTATATAGTTAAAAAATTTTTCTTTAGCATTTCATCATTAATTCATTATTAAAACTTTAATTAAATGTAAGTAATTTGTTAATATTATTATTATTTTCTAATTTTTATTTAAATATAGTAAAATTTAGATTATTAATCAAAAAAGTATCATATAATTATGAACATATACCCTATAAAAAAAGTTCGTGTAACAAATGTTCTAAAAATATTCTAAAATTGTTTAGTTGTATATTCAGTGTTTTATTCAATCTTTGTTCAAAAAAATGTTCGGAATGGAGTCGATTTTCTGAACAATTTTTTGAACAATAATTTATATAATTATGTACAGGTGTTTGAATAATTTTATTTAAATTTCAACTTATAAATATTATAGAGTTGTGTAATTAATATACATTATTATTAAATTCTGTAAACTGATTATATTCAACATATATTTTACTATTATCACAAAATAATACTTATATAATCATTATTTTATTCAATTTTCATACATGTAATATGCTAAATCTGTGCAATTGAAATTCTGATAAATAAAATATATATACTGTTAAATCATGTTTTTATCACGCACATAATTAATTACCAGCGAAAGCATTTGTTTTTAAATTCGTCAAGCATATCTGCACTATATCTTTAGAGATTAAACAATCTTCCTGTCAATTCTATGAATCTATTTATATTTTTTTGCTTTTCCTGCAAATAAAGTTAGAATTAATTTCGATTTATTAATATACATAAATATTATTCATAAATAATTATATCATACTATTAGTTTTTGCCTTACTAGACATTTTTAAAGATCGTTCTTTAGTAGGCTCAGTATCATCTTCCATGCATCTAGTTTTTGTAGTTTTGTTACTTTCTTCAGTTCGTGCAGGTGTTCTGTTTATATAATATTATAGATCCATAAAACTATTTATAAATTATTTTGAAATTTAATAAACTATCATACCTGGAAGTATGGTCACGTAGTTGGCAGCCAGAATTTTGAGACATCTTGTTAGATTTGCCCGCTGATTCAATAGCATCATTTGGATCTTTATCTTGGATTTCGTGATTGGTATTTTGACATCGAAGGACAGTTAACAGAACACAAAATGAAGAAGTCAAACGAGCATTCTTCGTATTATTTGCTGAACTTGAGGTTTCAACAACTTCTAAGGGTTGATCCCGCTCAATAGCCTGAATACACAATATAAAATTAGCATTTTTTATGTGAAATAACTCAACATCTTATTCTACATACATTTTGTCTAAGACTAGACAAAAATTCTTCAGGAGTTTCATTTGATATTAAAGAAACATGAGAGGATGATCGTGTAGCATCGTTTATTTCAGCAGATAAACCTTAATTAATAAATGAAAAATAGTTAATACTATAGAAATTAACAATTGCAAAATTTTTTTATTACCCATCCTTCTTTTCTTGTCATCAAAAGACAAACGAACTCCTTTTTTTCGTTTTTCAGTATTGCCTGTTTAAAAATAATCAGATTAGTTCTATATTTTTTCACGCTATAATGTGTTTTTACATATATACGTTTATTATTAATTATTCCACACATCATTCGTTTAATAGCCCAATCACAAGAAGTAGGAGGGAACTTTGGATTTTTGCGTTTGAACTAAAATAAGCGTTTGATTAAGTATTTCAAGGCAATTAACAAAAACAATTGAAAATATAAGTTTACTTACTCTTTTAATGATTTGACTTTTTTCATTTTCTGGTATTCTTCGGAACTCTGGAATTTCTTTCTCATATTTAGCCATTATCATCAAATGAAGTGATTTCTAGGATAATCATTAAAAAAAAAAATAAAATAAAACTATTACAGTAACGATAGTAGTAAATATATTTATTACCCGATAACCATTGTAAATAGCTTTGTCTAATTTGAGAGCTTTAGGAATATCAATATACGTTGATTCATTCAGCTTCTTAATAGGGACTAACTTTTAAACTATAGAATCAAATTTTGTGGTAAATTATATAGTAATATTAGTCGAAGATTAATGAATATCATAGAACAGAAACTTCATCGCTAGTACTTTCTGTTTCTGAACTGAAGGTATCTTTTTTTCTGTGGCTTTTCTTTTTTTTAGTATTGTGTTTCCTTTTTTTTAGATACCTCGTTATCAGTATCGTCTGAATTAGTATTGAGTTTTTAGTTCTTTGTCTTTTCATTATTGGTGGCTTGAAGTCTTTCTAAAGTTTCTAGTCGCTTAAGTAAAACTGAAATCTCATTGGCTGAAAAGTCCTTATTATTCATATCTGAATCTTGCTCGTTTCTGGTATCAGGTTCTGTCGTAGAGTGGTTTGATCTTTCTTCGTCGCTTGCATTTGCTTTTTGTTTATTCTTATTTGCTTTATTGTTTTTATAGACTATTGTATATAGATAATAATTTGGTTTGATTCTAATTACCATAAAAGGTGAAATTTACTCTTATAGAAAAAAAATTAAGATGTTACACAATTCAATATATACGTATTTACGTATGTATATATCAGTATAGTTTATTCAATTAGTAATGTGATGCATATGTAATATGTACGTATAGTTTATTCAAATCAAGATAAATAAGAAAAAATTTTTGATTTTTTAATTAATTTTTTCCAACTAATTAATATAATGCCTAAGACGCGTGTCTGGTGTGCTTGTCAAATATGCTTATCAATTAAAAAAAAATTATTGGTACTAATCCCATTTAAACCTAAATGGATAGATATGTGTATTAATTCCTGTTGCACCTATACAAATAATTTTAGCAATCTTAGAAAATGCCCATTTTGTGAAGAAGAGTGTTATCAGGATCAATATAAAACAAACAAGTCTTGTCACCAATTCACATACTTTTCAATTATTGATCGTGTAGTTATTCAATATCAGGATGTAGCCCAAACACAGAACCTATTATATCGTTCAGAATATACGTCAAGAACAGATTATTGTAATGAAAAAATTGGAGATGTATTTGATGGACAATGTTATAAGAATCTAGTAGAGAAAGGGTATTTTAAAGACAAACATAATATTGCATTATTGGCGTCAATTAATAGGTTTCAAATTTTTAAACAAAAAACTGATGATTGCTGGATTTTATTGTTTATAAACGCCAATTTGCCCCCAGAACAACGCGTAAAAAAAGAAAACCTTCTAATTTCTACAGTCAGACCTGGTCCTAAAGAACCAAAAGATTTAAACTCTTTCTTATTTCCTGCCATTTCTGAATTATGTGAATTAGCAAAAAGAGTAGAATATTCAAGTGTTAACTGTAAAGATAAATTTATATTACATGGCCATGTATTGTCTTGGTCAGGTGATACACCTGCACTTACAAAACTAATGGGTCTCACAGGGCATAATTCATACAGAGGATGCCGTTACTGTAATATAATAGGTGTTTATACGTCACATGTATATTATCCTACCAAACCACCTAGAGATAAAGGAGGTGAAATTTATAATCTAGCTAATTTACCTCTTAGAACCCACAATGAGTTCAAAAAACAAATACAAGAAATTTAAGATATGCAAGCTAAGTTTGAACAAAATCAAGCTATAAGACGTTGTGGTATTTCTAAAAGAAGTATTTTGTTTGATCTTGACAGCACTAATTTTCCAAAGACATTTTCAGTAGACATTATGCATTTATTTTATGAGAACATCGCTGGTTATATGCTTGCTTATTGGATGGGTTCTTTTTTTAAAGATCTAAATTTAAATAATAGTAAATACGTTTTAAGCAAAGACACGTGGGATACAATTAGAAAAGAAATGCACTTAGTTCGAAAAACTATTCCATCAAATCTAGGTCGACCATTACGAAATTTTCCTTTGCATCATAATGGTTATAAAGCTGAAGAATGGTCTTCTTGGATTACAATGTATTCATTACCATTTCTTAAAAATGGTTGCCTAAAAAGTATTATGAAGGCTGGGGATTGTTTGTGAAGGCAGTTCGGCTATGTCAAAAACAAATAATAACATATAATGATTTAAACAAAATTCAATCGTATCCTCTAGCATTTTATTCACATTATAAAAATGAATATTACCATGGGCAGTCGGAACGTTTGAGTACAATGAGGATATCTATACATAATATTTTGCATGTGTCAGAAAGTATTTTTCAAACAGGTCCTTGCTACACAACATGGCAATATCCAATTGAAAGAGTATATGGCATGTTGCTTCTATTAACAAAGTCAAGGTTACATCTATACAAAAATCTCATTAATAACATTCACTTACATAAACTTTTTAATTGTTTGAAGTTTAACAAAGCAATCTATAATCAAATTTTTCCAACAATTCCACCCAAAATACATGATGAACATTTAGCCTATACTGGTGAAAATAGTCAAGACTTCTATTTTCCTTCAACTCAATATAATTTAACACAAGTGAGTTGAGAAAAATCAAACAACATTTCTCTACTATATCCGATGTATCTGGTTTGCAGCTTGTATCTTTTAACAAAACAGGAACAAAATATGGGTAGCTTAGGACTGTGGATAGTCATTATATTAGGTCAAAGTGGATTCGTCGAAATAAAGACTGGTCACGGGTAAATTATACAGTTATGGTTAAAATTGAGGTAGATATCTATGCCAACTATCCAAAGCGACCATCAGTATTTAAGATTCAAAATTTTTATGCTATTGTTGAATATTACCTACTTTATGAATTTGAAGGGTCTAAAGCAATGTTAGCCTATATCCAGTGGACATCAACTGTTGAAGAAGACAGTGTTGGGGTAAAAAAATTTAGCCGATTTAGATCATATGCATTTATTAATGCATCTGCTATTGATCGTTGTGTAGGCTTTGTTGAAATTGACAGGTTATTTTATATTGTAGACAAAGAGGCAGATGATGATAATAATTTAGGAGTTGCATAACTATTAAAATCATACATTTTATATAATTATCATTGCATAATTATTAGTCAAATTACAGGTCTTATACGGTTAGTAATTGTAAACAATCTGTATAAAAATTTAACATTTCATAGCAGTAACTTATATGCAATAAATAAAATTGTAATTATTCAGCAATTTTATACGATATAACTAATACAATTATAATAAAAATTCTGTATAGCTTTATAATTACTATAATCGCTGATAGATACATAATTGTTGAACAAATTTATACGTATTACTGTACATTTTTATACAATTTATTTATTAGCTCAATTTTTGATTTTTTATCATCAGTACAACTATTGTACAATATTGCTTCTACACAAATTATTTTATACAATTGTTAGACAAATTTATACTACTGTACATTTTTATACAATTTATCTATTAACCTAATTTTTTTGATTTTTCATCATCGGTACAAGTATTGTACAATATTGCTTCTATTTTGAACAAAACCCGTATAAGGCCTAACAAAAATATGATATATTCAGTACAATTTTTTTTTTATAGGGAGGACTTACTAACCTAAGTGAGAAGATCTCAGGTCTTTGAAACAATACAGCACCTAGGAAGAGTAGCTCATATAGAAATGATTAAAGAGTCACGTGGTAAGACAAGAGCAGAAGTAAGCTTCTTTTCTAATACAACAAATACAAGAGTTTTAGCAAAAACATAGTGCTTGCTCTTCATGAGAGATCAACTAGTCAGGGTTACAGTAGGAAAATGCAATCTCGAGAAGTTGAAAGCATACAACATATTCAACAAAAAATTGCTCAACTTGCCAGAAGACACTAATAAAGTTCTTTTATGAAGACAAGTAAAATGTACAGGTGCTAAAGCATTATATATTTTTAGAAATTCTAATAGTAATAGTAAAAGAAGTGCAATTATATACTTTAAAAATGAAAAGGACTACAGAAACAGTACAAAGTTTGCAGTATTTTATTCTAATACTAGACTCAACTAGGTAAAAGAGAAAGATGAAATAATAGAAAGTAAAAAAATAGAGATAGAGAAAAGAAAAACATACTATAACAAGACATACAAAGAAAGTCATAACTGAAATATGTAGAGTTTAAGCCCTTTAGATACAGAATTAAGCAAAGATGAAGTATCAGATACGAAAAACTCAGATATAGAATACCAATAGAAAAGTGTATACTCCAAAAAGAAAAGCAAAGAAATCAGAGAAGGGAAAAGAAGAGCTCCTCTTAGCGAAGTATCTAGCAGTAATACAACACCTCAAGAATCACATAAAAGCTATGAGAACACTATAGACTACATGCTGCAGCTCATAAGAAGCCTTGAGAAGAAAATTCAATATATAGAGTGAGACACTCCTAATCGCTCCTAATAGGCATACCAGTTAAACTAATGATAATAGACAGTGGTGCAAACTGTCTTCAGTTAGAAAGGAGAGAGGAAAAAAGAAACAAAACAGGAGAGAGTAAAAGTATTATTTTAAAGGACTATCAGATATTAAACATAGCTACGCATAACATTAATAGGATCAAAGACAACTCAGTTAAATTGGAAATACTTCTAGAATAGGCAAAACAAGAGAAAATAGATATAATCAGGATTAATGAAACTAATACAACAGAAAGGCAAAACAAGTTTAGTATGAGTAGATACAAAGATTATTTAGGAATTTGAACAGATGCAGATGAAAACAAAAAAAAGGGGTCTAAAGTAGGATTAATTATGAATAAGAAATGAGAAAAGCATCTGGGTCAAATAAAATGAAACAATGCATATTGTATAGAAGCCTTCTTTATATTCAAAAAACAAAAAGTACAGGTAATAGTAGTATATATCTCTCACAATGATCAAAAAACCAGAAAGGATATACAATAGCAAGTTATAAAAAGAATCTATAATTGCTAAAAGAAAGCTATAAAGATTATAGTAATAGGTGATTTGAATGATATAAGATGCAAGAATCTTGACCAAAACAGAGAAGACTTCAAATAAACTCAGAAACTTCTTCTTTTGAACTAGCTAAGCAACTCAGATATGGTAGATGTATTTAGAAAATTATACCAATATTAAAAGAAGTTCACCAAATCAAATAATCAAGTCAAATCTAGAATCGACTATATCTGGATCTCAAAAGATCTAGCACAAGGCTTAATAAGTTGCTAGATAATTAAGTCAGATGCAATCACAAATAGCGACTATACAATAGTAAAGGCAAACATAGCAACAGAAATCATAAAAAAATCTAGAACTGCAGCTTGTGATAAAAGGCTAAAGGGCAAAAAATAAGTGTTTAGTTTAGAAAAAGCTGTAAAAGAAAACTGGAAAGATTATAAAGCAAAGCTAGACAACACACTCGAAGAGAAGCTAAGTAACAGAAAAAGGAAAGATAACCTAAACAGACTAGAAGCAATAAGCAAAAATGATTTGTAGGATATAATATCAGCTAGCATCATTAAGTATGCTAAGGCTATATTACCAGACAAGAAAGTAGCACTCAAGAGAATTAAGACAAAGGAAAAAGTAAATAAAAGTGATAGCATAAAGAAAGACTTGAAGAAAATTAGAAAAATATATCAGCAATGTGTAGCAGGAATTAGTCAACAAATCATTGAAACAAATAGAACTAACATTAATTTACAGATAAAGTACTTAAATGAAGAATATGAAACCAAAATAGAAGAACTCATAGAAAGGGTATAGTCTAAAAGAAGGCTCAAAGATCTCAAAACGTAGTAAAAGATCATGTATACAAAAGTGCAACAAGCAAAGAAAAAAGAAGAACTAGAAAAGATAAACCAAGTAGTAGAGCAACATTGCGAAGCAATACAAGGAGAGCTCAAGTATATAATTAGTAGCTTACTCAAGAGATCTTCTAGATGAGTAGTCATAGACAGAGTCATAAAAAAAGATAATTCTGATATAATCCTACTGAACCAAAAAAATGAAGTTTTGAATGAAGTGAGAGATCACTTTCAAAAACAATTCAGAAGAGGAAATACTCAAAGCACAAACATACCTAAGTGATGGAAAAAAGCTTATAAACTTTTGGAGAAAGTTGATATGAAAATATATGACAGTCTAGTGAGTGAGATTTCTGAGAAGGAATGGACAGAAGTACTCAAAAAAACACAGGCCAAATCAGCACCAGGTCTATCAGATATAAGTTATCCACTAATCAAAAAAGCAGGCTCTACAGTACAAAAACTCTTTAGACACCTTGCGAATATGTATATTCGAGAAGGAGAAATACCAGCTAAATAGAAATTAAGTCAACTGTATTCTATTTCTAAAGGAAAAGACTGGAATTTCAATTTATCTAACGTGTGCTTAATAGTCTTGATCAAAACCTTCTGCAAGACTGTAGTAAGGGTAGTAACTCAAAGACTAGACAGAATTATAATAGAACATAATATACTAGAGAGACCAAATTATACAGGCCT